TGCTAGGGACCCTCAAAGACCGGGAGCTGAGGCTGGCGAGGGGCAGCACAATGACCCTGTGTTCTCAGAGCCATTCTCTCTCCCCTCAAGCAGGAGCAGGCACGCTGTGAGCTAGGGCTGCCCGCCCCCGAGGGCCAGGCTGGGTTGGTGCTAGGGCTGGCACTGACGCTCCAAGAGGGCCACATGTGGAGTGAGAGCCCCAGAGGCTCCGCCCGCACAGCACCAGCCCAAGGTGGGGTTGCCGAGAGGAGTGCAGGGGGGAAGGGTCAGGGGCGCCAGGGTCAGGGGTGCCAGGGTCAGGGGCACTAGGGGCAGGAGGTTGAAGCCTAGGGACCCAGGCTCTGTGGGCCAGGTTTCACCCAGGACACAGGCAAAGGTCAGCGAGGCCTGGGGTGTTCTGGGGCCTCTGGGGGCTCTCACTCCACATGGGGCTCTTCTTGGAGTTCCAAGCACACCTAGCACACCTGCCCCCAGCCCCTGGCCTGGGGCTAATGACGAGCCAGGCTCCTGACCAGCAAGGGGCTGGCTGCCGGGGAGGGGAGCAGCCCCACTCTGGATCTGCTCCACCTGGGGACACATGTGCTACAATCCTGACTCTACAGGTAACCACACACAGGCTTGAGACCAGGTACAGGTAAYCACTTCCCACAGAATGGCTGCCCTTCGTGGCTCAGGGTCCACCCACAGAGGAGGCAGCTCAGGGCAGCCTGGACACATGCCAAGTTCAGGAGAAGAGGAGGCCTGGGGAGGCGAAGGAGGGTCTCCCAGAAGAAGCAGGGTCCACCTGGGGTTCTTCCCCCAGGGAGGGCCAGGGGATGGCAGGTGGGGTGACCCAGGACCATGGCCAGGGAGGTGATGCTGGAGCTTGGAAACCCTTGCTGGGGGCCCTGAGGGCAGTGCCAGGCACACATGGAATGGCCGAGCTTACCCAGTGCTGGGGACCCCACAGGCTGGCTTGAGCCTGACGTTGAGACAGGGAAGGGCGGCTTGGACGTGTAGGAACTTGGCTGGCCAGCACCTGGGTGAAGCAGCCCTGCACTGTCCCCCAGGGCTTCCAGTCCACTGACCCYGGACGCATCAGTGGCTCTGGCCCTAGCCAGCCTCTCCTGGACCCCATGGCCCTAGGCCTGGACAGGGAACTGGATGGGCTGCCTCCATGGCTGGGTTGGTGGCTGGAGGAGGGGCAAGGGAAGCCAGTGGCCTCCTCGCTGCCCTGGCTCAGCAGCAGAGACCTGGGGGTCCCCTCCAGGAAGAGGGCCACATGCCCCGACCCTGGCCTGCCCCCACTGGCCTGAAACCTACTGGAGTTGGAGGGCTTCCTGACACGACAGGGGTGGGGTTCACCCTGTAAACTGGAGACCAAGTCTTCTCACCCGGGTTCTGCAGCCACTGGTCAGCCCCAAGGCTCCCCACGGTCTGGCCTCCTGGGGAAGCTGGCCACCCACCTATAATGGGAAGGAGGAGCGCTGTGGCAGGAGGCCCCTGCAGCAGGCAGCCCAGCTTTAAGTAGCCCCCAACTCCTGGCGCTTCATTCACCCCAACAGAAACCCCATGCCATTGGACCCAAATATTTACCCCAATAGTTGGGCATGGAAAGTCCTGCTAGAGCCACCAGGCTCCCTAGCAACCCCCTTCCCTTCCCCCAACCTTTCCCAGCCCCCACGTGCTATATTCACCCCAAGAGACAGCACATCAATCCCGCCACTGCAGGCTGCAGGCTGGAGAACCAGGTGGGCAGGAAGAGACAGCCCGTCAGTGCTGGGAGGACAGGGAGGCCAGGCCTGGGGGCAAGAGGCCGAAGCATTTGCTCTCAGCCTGAGAGATGCAGCAAGGGCCTCTGGGTATTCTAGATCATTCTGTGTTGGCTTGCAAGGCTCATGTCCTGAGCAGTAGGGACCTGGTCTTACTATCTCAATGACCTGAATGACCTTGGTAAGGCTGTGATGGCCAGGCCCACCCCAGCCTCTCTCAATGGTCATTGGGCCCCACCCCGACCCCCGCAGGCCTGTGACCCAGTGGCAGGGATTCTTTCTTCTGGTCCCCTGGGGCAGCTCCAGTCTGACCCTCATCTTGGTCCTGCAACATTCTTTACCTTGGAGGGCAGGTTCTCCAGCTAGCATAGTGGACAAAGAAGTCCAAGATGGAGACACTGTTTTGTCCCGTAGGACCTCTCATCCCAAGCCTGGCCCTGGAGATCGGGCCAGGCTCTCAGCTGGGACGCGCACACGGGGCAACTCCACACTCACACACAGGGCCTGGGGCCCAGGCTCCACACTGTGATGCTAAGAGAACACCACAACCAAGTCCAAATCGTTGCTCTCCCCCCAGCCACCCCAGGCCCTTTCCTATCTGCTCATGCATCTCTCCAAATGAGCAGCAGGGCCACCCTGCGGCGGCTCCCACCACCTGCCAACCCTGTGCGCTTCTGAGCAGCCCAGTGGCCTCACACTCAGGGTCTCAGGTCCTTTCCCTTGAGCTGCCACCCAGAGCAATGCTCTTCCTATGTGGCAGACTTGGACTGCACGGGGACATCCCAGGGCAGGCAGCATGCCTGTTGTCCGTCGGGGGCAGTGACACTGTCCTGCACCATGACACATGACGTGCTCACCTGGGCCTGCCAACCCTGAGCCCACGGCAGRTCTGCACTGGACAGTACCCTTACTGCCGGAATCATCGGACCCAGTCTGCAGCACACACCCTGGACACAGCCCCTCTGCAGCACCCTGTCCCCTGTCCCTATCAGCACCGTAATCTCCCAGGCTTCCCTGGGAGAACCACCAGGTATCTCGGCTGYGGGGTGGGGCACTGCCACCACCTGCAGTGGGCCTCCACCTGTGCCATGTGTGAGTGCGGCACTYGAGTGCGCCCCGAGCCAAAGAATGTGGGGAGGGCGACTCCCCAGACACAGCTGCCAGAGACACACAACAGCCTTCAAACCACCGGCTGGGCACACAGCCCTTCCGCCGCCCCCAGGCTCAGCCCTTGGGGTCATCCCTGGAGCTCAGAGGGCTTCCGAGAAGCCTGCATTGAGGAAACTGACCCGGGTGTTCTCTGCAGGGTGAATCAGTCGGTGGGGGTGGGGCGTGGCATTCAGTATCTGTAAAACGCCAAAAGCAGGGCTTTGAAGGACTCGGTGGGCCCCTGGCCCACTCTGGGCTAGCCAGACCACTGGGCCCAGGAGGAGCCCATGTTTGCTATCCAGGATCACTGCTGCGTTCAACCGAGGTATAGCAGCCTCCCTGAGACAAGGCCCAGGACTGCAGGAGGGAGCACCTGCTCCAAGCTTTGTCACCTTCCAAAACAGCCTGGTGAGACCAACCAGACAGACACGCAGCAGTAGCCTCCCTGGCTCCCGCCAGCCTGCCCCACGCACGTGCAGGCAGACAATGGATCTGCAGGTCCAGAGCCTGAAGCCTGGAGGGGACCAGCCCGATGACACTCCCTGGTCCCCAGGTCTCCCCTGACCTGCAAAGCCCCACCCTATTCTTCCTGTTCTTCTCCAGTTCTGTCAAATTCAAGGGTGAACAAGGGCCTGCATCAACAAGGAAGTGGGGGTGAAGATGTAGCAAAGACAGACACTCTGCTCCTCATCCTCAGAGAGGGCAGGTGTCTGCTCAATCTATGACCTGAATCCACCCGGGTGCAGACAGACCCAAGATAGTAATGTCCATCCCAGAGGCCACGACCCCTTCTCCAGGACCTGATGCCCCTACCCCTGCTCCTGGCGTGCAAAAGGTGTTCTGAAGGGTAGTGGGCAAAAGGGCAGACACATAAATTGTATCTTAGGTAGACAGAGAGTAACTAGTTGTAAGACCCCCACGGCAAAGGAAGAGAAATGTAACTAGTGACCCCAGCAAGGCCAGGCCAGCTCTGCCCTATTGGGTGAGAGCTGGAGAAGTCCATCTCTCCCTGGGGAGGGGCCTGTCCTCAACCCCAGGAGCACTGAAAATTCTAACTCCAGCCAGCTTCTGACAGAAAACAGCTGTCTGGGCTGGGGGCGGGGTCACCTGGGAAGGCGGCTGGGACCTGCAGTTGGGAGGAGCCCTGGCCCAGCCCCCCTGGCTGCTCCACCCTCCTCCCACCCCAGAATCCTCAAGTGCCCAAGAGGCCCGGGAGCCTCAGCCCCCGCAGAGTGTCTGCCCTCGGCTCCCTCCCTGTCTTTAGAGGCTCGGGGCCTGGAGAGGAGGCAGTGGTGGGCAGCGGCCTAAGGCGGGGGTCCTGGCTGCAGCTCACAGTCCAGGCTGCCCCTCCTTCTGTGGACCCAAACACAGTCCCCTGGGAACAAGCCTGGAGCTGGGATCCCACACACCTGATCCCAGACGAGGATCCGGACACCTCCTGGTTGGTTTGGCTGCGCTGGGGACACAGTCCCTCCACCTCCAAGGACGGTCTGCAGCCGTCCAGTCACTCCCTGCCACCCTCCCGCCCTGTCTTGGCCCCTTTAAGCCCCGCCAAGTGGGGAGCCAGGCGGGGCGCGCCGCTCCCACACGGGCCGCGCCCGCCGCCAGACGCTCCCGCACCCCGGCTCCCCGCGCCACGCCGGCGAGGCTCCCCGCGCTGGCGCCTGTCAGAGTCCGCGCGGCTGCGCCCGCCCGGGGGTCCCCGGGTCTGCGGCGCGGGGCTCCCCGACCACCCGCGGGGCCCGCTGGGCGCTGGGGCCTGCTCGGCGTCGCTCGGCCTCCCGGCCCCTCCCGGCCCCGCCCGGCGCCGCGCTCCTACCGTGCGGGCTGCGCTCGGTGCTCCGGGCCGGGCCGGCCGGGCGCGGGGCTCAGCTGGCGGCGCGGCCCGGCTGCAGGAAATGCCAGAGGACTGATCCAACCGCGCGAGGCGGAGCGAGGGAGCGGCGGAGGGAGGAGGCGGGAGGGAGGGCGCGGCGGCCGCAAAACCCGGGCGGATCCGCGCTGGAGCGGCGCCCTGGGGACCCCGGCGCCCGCCCGCGCCGCCACCAGCGCTCGGCCTTTCCGCGCCCTTCCGGCGGCGAGCCCTGGGCTCCAGCTCACCTGCGGCCCGGGTGGCGACGCCGCGCCCAAGGCTTGGCRGGGTGGGTGAGCCGGGTCAGTCTTGTGGGGTTCTCACGTTTAGGGGCTTAGGAGAAGCCCAAGGTCACAAATGTAGGCGCACCCCACCCCACACTCGCCAGAGCTGTGGATTCCTTCGCTCCATTCCTGAGCCCAAGTAACTGTCACCCCTGCCGATTGCTAGAAGCCACCAGAGCACAGGAGGACCCACTGTCCTGTATTCCTGTTCAAAGGGACCCTTCTGTCATACTCCAGGTTTCCAACTGATTAACTGGTCGCTTCAGAAACTGACACCYCTGTACTAAGTCCTGTTTCCCCCTCACTTCTCTTTGCCCCCTTAGATCTTTCTAGACCCTTCCAATGGTCTTACGTGTAAGACTTACTCCAATTGCCCTAAATGACTTTCAGATCTGAGTGCAGGTGACCTCCCAGTCCCTCCCCTGAAGGCCTAAAGTGGATGTGAGCTCCTGGTTGGTGCCAAGGTGTCCCCAGTGTGGCCCCCTGCCAGGTCCTTTCCCTACTGTCAGTCCCAAAGGGCCCAGCCACACTGGGAGCTGAGCCCATCTCCTCTGCACCCCCAGATGCAGGTGGGACATGGGAGGGCATGGAGCCTGTCCCAGAAGGAACCTCAGAAGGGACTAAACCGACCCTGGGAAGTCTCAGCCTCTTCCCGGTCTGTGCACTGCCATGGATACATCCAGGGTGCCCCTAAGACTGGTGATCATGGGGTGCTGAAGGACCCCTGCCCAGGCTCTAGAGGGAGAGCCTGGGGTGCGCAGCTCCTTCCAGGCCCTGGAGTTGGAGTGAGCCCTCTTGGGGAGGGGCATGCAGGGGCTCAGCCCCCAGTGGCAGTCCCTTCCCCCCAGCCTGGCCACGCCCACCCTGTTAGACCTGGGGTGAGGGGGGTGGTGGGCAGAAGCACCAGCCTCTCCCTCACCCTGGTGCTGATGGGTGGGTAAGGAGGCAGCTCTGCTGCACCAGCTGGCTTACCCCAGAATGAGCCCTGCCTGACCCATAGTCACCTTTCGAGGCCGAGGCCTTCGGACGCAGAACTGTTTGGATAAGATGCTCAGAGCCATGGTGGGACCTGCTCCGTGGGGCCAGTAGCCTCTGCCCTTCAGGCAGGGGTGAGGAGGGTGGAGGAGACCAGTGGGTCTGCTTTGAAGTCTCTGCACAAAGCTGGGTGTGGCCACCAGAGCCTGGTGAGTTGCTGGTTGCCTGGGCGGGTCCTTGGGGAATCCAGGGAGAAAACAAGCTCTGTTCCCCGGGCAGAGGTCTCAGGGGCCTACACCGGGAAAGCTGTGAATCCATGCGGGCTATAAGGGCCACATTTTGTGAAAGGACACTCCTGAGGGCAGAGGTCAAAGGGCACCTGTGGAGCCTGGGAAGGGCCCTGAGGATGACGGCAGGGTGGGGCTGGGGAAGGAGTCAGGACCAGGTTTGAACTCTTCACTGGGCTGAGTCTGACAGCAACCAGACTGGCGCACGGGAAATGAGGAGCATGTCACCTGCCAGGCTCAGTGACAGGTGTCAGGTGTCCTTCAGGGTCCACAGCTGCTGCTGGGCTCTCCCCAGAAGCCCCATTCCTGCTTGCCTGGTTTTGGAGCGGCAGCGAGGTGGCTAGAGGAAGGTCTGAATCCTGCTGCCGCCGGCGGAAAGCAGCTCCATCACTGGGCAGTGAGTTGCTCCTTCCGGGCCTCAGCTTCCTCACCTGTCAAATGGACACAGCGTGTGCATGATGGAGGCCCGTGCAGGAAAGGAGAGCAAAAGCCCTCAGAGGTGGGCAGAGCAGGGGGCTGACGGTGCCCGCCTTGGGCATGCTGGCACTGCCTCGGAGCCGTTGGGCCTCAGGCAGGTTTTTTCAACTCTCTGGGCCTCACTTTCTGCCTCTGTAAATGCTGAGGAGAGGAATCCCCACCGGCCAGGTGCTCTGAGTGCCCAGCAGTGCCAGGAGACTTCTAAGGCGCTCGCCCTGGGTAAGCACCCTGGGAAGGGATGGTCAGACCGCCCCGCCCATGGTGCTGACTGACTCTTGTTCATGCTGTTGCGTTTGTGATCAGCAAGATTTTATAATGCTTTTGCAAACATGGAGGCTTGTACTCCGAGCGAGCAGAGAACACTTTAAAATCAGTACTGTTTCAAGCCAAGTCTCTGAACAGTGGCCCTCAGCCGGGGCGGCTTTGCCTCCTGACTCGAGGTGGCCATGTCTGCAGGCAGTGTTGGCTGGGTGCTGCAGGCATCGAGGGGGCAGGGGCCAGGGACTCTGCTCAACCCTCGAGATGCACAAGAGCCCCCAGGGCAGAGCCATCGGCTCCAGGTGCTGGTGGTGTGAGTGGAGCACCTCCAGGAAGCCCTTGCCCTTGGCCCAGCTTCTTCAGAGCCCCCGAGACCTCCTGCTGAGAGGGCCCCATCCTGCCTGGGTTCTGTATATCTCACCAGGGGTGAAAGGAGCCACGTGGGCACTTCCCAGCAGACACTCCGGACGCCCGGAGAGGTGGTTCAGCCACAGACAGCCCCATTCTGCAGATGGGAAGCCAGGGCCCAGCCAGGGAGGCCCTCCAGCCCTGGCAGGGAGTAAGGAGTGTCTGCTCGGAACCAGCCTCTGTTGTCTGCCCACTTAGTGAAGAAGACCCACAGGCTCATAGGACCAGGTGGAGCCCCTGCCCCTTCCTTTGCACTGGCTCCGTCCCCAAGAAGGGCTTGGGTGGCCAGGCCAGGTTGGAAAGTGCCTGTAGAGAGCCTTCCTTGGGGTTCTGTCCCCTGCAGGGGCCAGCAGGGCCCGGGTGTGGCCCACTAGACCTGAGCCACTTGGGGGGAGTTCCCTCCTTGGCTCGCTGGTGCTTTCCAGGCCATCGGAGGTGGCAATGGCATCTCCCAGCCACACATCTCTAGATGAGGAAAAAGAGGYCTAAATCGTGGGGGTGCCGCGGGACTGAGGCAGGTCCTGGATTCCTATTGGGACACTGGTCTTGTCACTCTGGGCACTAGTGGGATGTCCAGAGGTGAGGCTAAGCTCAGCAGTCCTCCCTGAGGGCACATTCGTCCTCCCGTTGGGCTTCAGAGTGTCCCTGCTCTGGGACTCTTCCCTCGGAGTCTCATTTCCTTACCTGGGCAGAGGGGCAATGTCCCCACAGGTCGGGGGGCCTAGGGAAATCTGGAGCTCATAGTGAACCTCAAGGTGCCTGGCACCACGTCCTCCCGCTTACACATGTGACCCGCTTCTTCCTCCCCTGGAGCTCTGGGCCATGAGCTCTGGGCCAAGGAGCCAGGCAGTGGCTGAGGCAGGCCCGGAAGGCGGCCTGGTGCCCAGGCGGCTCCGCTCCACCCTCTGCTGTGGCTCGGCCGCAGGCCTCTCCAGCTCACCAGAGCCGCCTTTGGCCACAGGCCCTGGGGGGAGCCCAGCCCCTTCCTCCCCTGGACCCCATAGTGGCAGGGGAGGGACATGCTGGGAGGAGCAGGGAGGCCTGTGTCCTCAAATGTGTTCCACGTCCTCTCCCAAGGGAGACCCTCGGGTGGCGTCCTCCTGGGCCGAGTCACATATCAGGTGTGAGGTGAGGCGGGCGGTGGCCCCTGGCAGTTCCCTGGGAAACCTGGGGGACTGGCACAGACTCTCCCCCTCCCTGCCTGATGCTGCCCAGGGCCAGACAGGCCTGCAGCCTGGGCGGTTCCCTCTGCTCTCCACCGCACACCCCCTGTCTTCCAGGAAGACCCATCTAAAGCCCTGGTTCAGGCAGCGTCTGATGTGTGCCGTTTCCCAGTGCCCTGGGCCTCAGCTCTGACCCCCACCTGAGAAGGCGAGAAGGGTCTATTTACAGGGACTCACTGGGAGGCTTTGAGGCCCTGCGGGATCCGTCTTGCTGCTGAGGTGCATTGGCTATGCTGGAAATGCCCGCACAATTGCAGGCCCTGTCCTTGGAGGTGATGACCTCTGCCTGCAGCCCTGCTTTGAAGAAATGCCTAGGGGTCCCCTTCCCAAGTACCTGCCAGCAGCCACCCTGGGCAGGACTGGCTCCTCTGGGGAGCTATTGGTAGCAGGCTCTAGTTCCAGCAGGTGCTGGGCCCCCAGGAGTTGTGCTGGCCTGTCCACTGCCCTTTAGTGGTCTCTTCTGGGGCGAGGTGGCATTCCGCTTGAAAGCTGAGTTCCAGAAGTTGAGCGGCCCACCGTCAGGGCTGAGTCTGTCGCAGTGGCGGGAGTGTGCTGGAGGAGTGCCCGGTGGGTCGGGGTGTACAGGGGCTGGAGGCTGGTGCCCCAGGGTCGGGGAGCTTCGGCAGCCCTCTGAGAAGCGAGATGGCATCCTCCCTCTGGAGGAGCGGACACAGCTGTGGCACCCCATGGGCTTGGTGACAGCCAGGCAGGGCCACAGGCCTGGGGAGGAGGAAGCAGACCAGGGACACCCAGCCAGGGACATCCCGGTGGGAGGTGGCATCCTGTCCGAGGCCATGCACTTGGGATGCTCCTGGCCTCTTCTCCCTTCTCCTCCTCCGACTTGCAGTTGAGTTTCCTCGTGGCTGTCATGTGTGACATCTCAGTAGATTGAACACAGAAGCGGGTGCGCGACCCCAGCTGGCTCTATTAAGCCAGCCGTGACAGGGACCCGAGAATGTCAGCCAGTGTCACTCTTTTTGAGGAATACTTTTGTTTTGGAAAACACATTTTGTTTTTGTAAGTAATGTATCATTTATATTAACAACACAATGGGTTTATCCTTTTTAAGTAAATATTTTTAAAACTTGAAGTGAATATTGATAGATGTAACCTATAGAAACAAATGTTCTTTGTGGACCTCAGTGATTTTTTTTTTTAAGCGTATAAAGGAGATGAGTTTGGTAGGCACATCTGCAACCCCAGCTTCTCAGGAGGCTGAGGCAAGGTGATTGCAAGTCAGAGGCCAGCCTGGGCAACTTAGTGAGGTGCTACCTCAAGGTGAAATTTAAAAAGGGCTGGGGAGGTAGTTCTGTGGTACAAAGCTTGCACAAAGCCCTGGGTCCAATCTCTAGCACCACACACAGAGAAATAAGTAAGTCAATAAGTAAACAAATA